GCCACCTCCCATCTGTTGCCATGGGGGCAACTGCAATCAGCGTAAATCCATCAAGCATCCTGTCCAACGGCTCACGCACACAGAGCTAATGGATACCAAGTGGCCCTCCAAAGAGATCCCCGGCAATGCTGGAATGGTGGGGAGCAGAGGACAAGCCCATTTGCCTCTCTTGCTAACCTGGCCAGGAACGTGGGCGGGTGGGCAACATTCGGAACAGGAAACCAAAAAAACCCTCAGCCAAGTGACAATTTCTCTGTTTGAGTTGCTTTTACTTGCGGAGGAAGTCAGAAAGTGACCAGATACCGCCTGCATGCACCCAGTGGCCTTCCCCTGATGTGGCCTCCTCCTGGCTCTGGGATTCAGAGGATTGGGGCCTCTGAATGTGGAGGTTCCCCTCGGTCACTATGGCTAGTAGCCATGGATAGACTTACCCTCCCTGCTGTCTGAGCTGAACTCGCCCCTCCATGCCAAAGGTCTGAGTGGATGCTTCCTCTGCAGAGGGGCTCCCGCACACAGTTTTCTAGCCCATGGCCATGGAGGCGTCATTTGTTTGCAGCTGCAATGTTCTGCTCCGCTTTCATTAAGGCAACCAGCCTCTGAAAGTGTTAGGTGCACAAAAGGGGGTGAGCGCTGTGCAGAGGATGCGCTCGGCTCTCTCTGATCCGCCTCCCCTGTGAAGAGAAGTGATCATCGCCCCCGATGCCATTAGCCGAGGCAATTCAGAGTTGATGAAAAAGCATCCCTCATTGCAAGCAGAAAAGAGACCGCTCCGGAATGCCTCCGTTTTCACGTGGGCTGAAATCGGCCAAGGACCTCAGCTGGACTCGCCGTTCCGGCGGCGGCACGTGCCACTCCGTCACTGCCGAAAGCCCAGAGGAGAACGCCGGGCCAGTCTGGGAGCAGCCGCGTCGGCTGCCTGATGTGACAGGCGAGGGGAGGAGAAGGGCAGCTTGTAAAACAGGGGCCCCAAAGCAAAGAGCATCTGTCAGCTAGGATGAGAGCTCCTCAGATGGGGACGGGAAGACAGGCAGCGTTTTAATAGCCAGACAGGTCAGCAAGGGTGATACTGGGACACAAAACCTTGGGGAGGGTCTGTATTCCAGGGCAGGGCTAACCATGGGCAAGGCCCTGGATCTCACAGGAAGAGTTTTGTTACGTAAGCCCACCCCTGGTTTAGGTCACACGAAGCAGCTTGATATTGCGTTAACAATTAATGTGAGTTGAGAAATTACAAGTAGGATCCATGGGGGGGGGGCTTCCACTGTGGTGGCCCCGGTTCTAGGGAACTCCCTACTTATGATTTGGATGTAGGAAAGTTTGTAAGACATCTGCTTTCGGAGAGACTTTTGAGTGATTACATGTGGAATTCTTGATTATATGTGGATTTTATTGTGCTGAGAATGAGGCCTAGTCCTCACTGAGGTGGGAAAACTTGGGCCTGGAATTGCACACGGATTGCGTGACAACCCCCCCCCCCCCGTGCAAAAAAAGAAGAAAGAAAGAAAGGTCTCTCCTGCACAGGGAAATGCCAGCATGTTAGAGAGAAGGGCTGGATTAGAAACCTTCTCCCCAGCATCTAGCTTTCTACAGGGAGGATACTGGGGAGATCAATCACTTTGCTGCCCCAAACTCCACAGAGAAAGGGCACAGCAGTCAGTTTTCTAAGACAGTAGTTTCCCAACTTGTGGGTCATGAAGCCCGTGAAACGGGTTGGAGGCTTCTTACAGTTTTATTAAGTGAATTTTTGTTTGGATCACTCAAACAATGGCTATAAAACCAACGAATTTAAAACGCATGAAACCAATGACTGCCAAAGACCCAGGGTCCAAAACTCTCATGACAATAAGCTGATGGATCGCCATACCGAATAAATTTGGAACTGTGAGTCGCCTTACCAAAAAGATTGGAATGTTCTAAGGAGGACATTCTGAAGAGGGGGGCCAAGGCATCCCTGCAGCTTTTAAAGGGGCCTGCCAGCAAATCAACCACTGCTCCCTCTGTACCAGAGGGCCAGATTTGGCACGGGGACCGCCGGCTGTTGACCCCCTAAATGTATGGACTTGACATTCACTTTGGTTCCAAGCAGGCAAGGATCGACAGTCTTAAATAAAACGGCCTCTATCCATCCACATAAATAAAGCTCAAGGGATTTAAATTTCCTCAAGGAGGGGTGATCATTTCTGTCCGTTTCCTCTTCCCATTGTAGCACGCACACACACACACACACACACACACACACACACACACACGGGTGTTCCTGAAAGTCCTCTGCCTCCCGGGAACAAAACTCTGAAGGGCTCAATCAGCTGCAGCAGGTGGGGGGGGGGGAAGCAGCAGAAAACCACTGCTCCCCTCTTAAGAAAACTTCGGAGTGCAAGCTTTCTTAACTGCGTGGTTGGATACAGGCCAATAAACGGAAATGGAATTTGCCAGCCAAGGCGGCCCCCAACTCCAGACCTCCCACCCTGGTGGTCTATCTGATGTTCCGGGGGTCCAGCAAGAAATGCCTCTGTACAACATCGTACATGAGCGCTGCTGAGGAAGCACGGCACCGAGAGAGAGCAAAGAGAGGGGGATGGGAGGAAACTCAATGAGCCAGTCGGAGGAGCCCACAGGAAAGCTGCCTGCATCCTTAAAAAGGTACTAACATGACTCCCAGGTAGGGGCACCTGATTGACAGACCAGACAATCTGATGTTCCTATTGCACCAGCCACCCCTTTCTAGGCAAAGATCCAGACGCCCATCGGCGCACTGCCAAGGAACCTTGCCGCTCTCTCTCTCTCTCTGGAAATGTGCCATTGTGTACAGCCAGAAGGGAAAAAAAAATTAAACCAGAAAACACTGTAACGGGACCAGTGATGCTCTTCTTGGTATATCTTGTGGCTCCTGAGAAAGGAAGAGGATGCTGTGAGTAGCAGCATCCCCATTCAAAAAGGAAGAAAGGATTTCTACACCTCCGACTGGGAGCGAGCGCTGAGCATCTCTGTTCCAGCGGGAAGCTGGAGCAAAAAGGTCCCTGCTCATGTTCCACACCCATCCCTCGTCACCCCTCTAATTCTGTATCATGCAAACTCCAGATATTGAACAGACTGTGCAGTGCAAAACTCATTGCATTTTTATAGCCTTGTCCTGAAGCACTTTTAAAAACTTGCACCCCACACTAGCTCAACTGGCACACTGTCGTTTTGGCAGAATTTAGGGGAGGGGAGGGGAGAGAAGAAGAGGGTCTGTGGGGAAGGGTTATGGTGCCAGAAAGAAGCATATGGGTTGGAGAGGAACCTTCCGAATTTAGTGTGTTGCACAATCACTATGGAAACTACCTGGAAGAGAAAGGAAAGCTATGCAGGACACCGATGTCCTGCGTCTCAAGCTACGGAGCCTTCGCTAGATGTTTGCCTCCATGCTTCTCAAGTGCCATCAATGAGGGCTAGAAACTTTTGCATTTTTTTTAAAACAAAGCCTGATATCTTAGAGGTCTACGTCAGGCATTAGGTTCCATGCGACAAGCCTGTAACTTAGATGCCAAGCAATGCTGTGTTTCAGCATCAACATATCCTCACTGCCCAAATCCAAACTCCTTTCAGGTACCTGCATGTTTTTGACTCCCTGCTGCCACACCCCCTAGATCTCCTCTGCAGCACAGGAGAGGTTGGAGGCCCACCCCAGTCATTCGACTCTTGGAAAACGCAGGAAGCAGTCAAGGCCTGACTCATTTTGCAGATAATTTAGCTGCTAGCAATAGCGTGTCCATTACTGTAGAGGAATGCCTCTCGGCCCCTGCCAATCACCCACGGAACGCTAAGCGCCAGGGCTGGGTAGTTATCATTAGACAGCGTGGTGGTGGTAGAAAGTACCGTCAAGCCTCTGCCTGGTGACCCGGGACTTCCTTGGTGGCCGGGGCTGACCCTCCTTAGCTTCTGAGATCAGGCTAGACTGGCCAATCCAGATCAGGACAGAGTGCCAGCCAGGGTACCCCACTGGAAACTACTAGAGTCCTCATCGTATGGCCCAACTATACACCCCACTCCCCCAGCCTGATTTGTTCTGCCGCTGAAAGCAAAGACCCGAAGTCAGGAGGAGCCCTAACATTTCCCATGAGTTTACTCTAGACAAAGAAGTCTGTTATACAGTTCCAGGCTTAGCTGCGTTCCCAATTCGGTATCCTTTGTGTGTGCCTGCAATTCCCTCCCAAGACCCTTCTCCTCACTGGCATGCTGTGCTGGTGCGTACAACATTCTCTAGGCCAGCAGCTTTTCTTTGTAATTTTTCTAAAGGCTTTCTGGCTCCTCCGTCCACTTGGGTTTCCCCTTTGCAGACCAAAGCCAGAGAGGACATGCCCTGCATGAAAGTCCTCGCACAGAAACAAGAGCTGCGGGGACAAGGAAGCAGCAAGCCCGCTTTGATCAGGGTGAGTTTTCATCTGAACCCCAGCTGTACAGGCCCATCTCAAACCAAAACATCCGAGCCAAGAGACTGGGCAGGACCCTTCTGTGGCCCGCATCGACCGGAATCGCCAATTCAGAAACCTGCCACAGGCTCTAAAATCTGGGCTCCTTCTCCCCATGTTTCAACCTCTTGTTTTCCCAGTCTCATTTCACTCCCTCAAAAGGGGTTCTGACAAACCCTGCTCAATTAGGAAACACACCGGGAATCGTCTCTGGGGCCGCAGCGCAGGCAACCCACCCCTTCCAAAGCCAGATACATTTCAGTAGTCATAGACTTCTGGGCAGCCACTGCTTCTGCACTAAGTGTAGTGGTCCTCGTAACACTATGGGCTGTTTCACATGCTTAAAAAAAATTTCTACGCGGAAGGCCCTTCCGCATAGGAAACAAGATGCAATCTGCAGGAATGTCGCCGCATGGGACAGTCACCGCTCTGGGGCTTTCATTGCAAACGCACGGAAGCTGAGACGGGCCAAGGCTTTCCTGCGCATGCACAGCACGAAAAACCCCGCGTATGCAATTGTCCCATGTGATTGCCCCACATGTGGAACAGCCCTATAGTTTCTAGTTAATGGCTTGGGTTCCAAAATTCTGCTTAGCTCTCTCGACACAGCAGGGGTTAGGGAGGATCCCAGGTGCCTGAGGAACTTCTTTTTTGTACAGAAGCAAACTCTCATTCGTCAACATTCCGGCAGCTGAGGAGGTCTCGCCCCATGCTCTGCCCAGCAACACCCTTTTCCCCATTAGGAAACCGGAACAAGACATGCCAACTCCATTGGAGAAAATTCAGTAGTGCTACCCAAAAACAAAACAAAACGAAACAAGTCAGTGAAACGCCACCCACACCCTTCCATGGGGCGTGCACCGGACGGAGACGTGGGCTTCCCGCGAGACAGGAGCCAGCCAGACGTGGCGTGTGGCCGCTGACCCCTGCAGGACGCCAGGCCCGCCTTCCAGTCGAATTGCACAGAAGTTCCTGAGGCTTGGCTGGAAGGGGGGGGGGGTGGGCGCTCCTGGTGCCTCAATGACAGGCTTTCATCCCTGATACGTACGGGGACTCGTGGGGGCGGCAGTTGCACTCCGGCTGCTCGGGGTAATCTATGAAGTCTGGGGCAGGCAGACCCGAGGCAACCACTAAGGATTTGTTCCAGATTGTGAAGGTGGGGCAGACGGGCAGAATAAAGGAAATCTCAAACGTATGGAGGTGCAGGGAGTTGGCTGGGTCGTAGAAGGACAGAATGTTGTTGTCGTAGTCCAGGAGGATGCCCAGGCGCTTCATCTGGGGGTGAACGTCCACCAGCATCTCCTTGTTGTTGTGACGCACCACAAAGTTGTTGTTGCAGCGGGAGAAGACCCAGGAGGAGGAATTCTTGCCGATCCACTCATTCTTTGGGGCTGACTTGTAGGCAATGCCAATGGCGTACCTGGAGAGAAGAGGGAACAGGGCGTGAGAGCCAGCACTGTCCTTGAGAATAAGACTGTCGGGCGGGGATCCTGGGAGACTTGGGGTCGAATCCCCACTCCTGTCGTGGAAGCTCGTGGGGGGGACTTTGGCTCAGTCACATTCTCTCAGCTTAACTTACCGATAATTACTTGGATCATTCTTTGCCTAAAGAGGGGAAATGATATGCTAAGCCATTTTGAGCGCCCACTGAGAAAATAAGTGGGATATAAGTAAACAAATGCAAAGAATTCAAATGCATATTAAAGAGTCCTATTAGAATATATGTAACAGAAGCTGCGGTGGCTCAAGTGGTTAAGATGCTGAACTGCAGGGCTGTGGAAGGTCGGTAGTTCAGCAGTTCGAGACCCGAGTGTGCCGCATGACGGAGTGAGCTCCCGTCTCTAGTTCCAGCTCCTGCCAACCTAGCAGTTCGAAAGCAAGAAATTGCAAGTAGATAAATAGGTACTGCTTCGGTGGGAAGGTAACAGTGTTCCGTGCGCCTTGGTGTTTAGTCATGTCGGTCACATGACCACGGAAACGTCTTCGGACAGCGCTGGCTCTTCAGCTTTGAAATGGAGATGAGCACCGCAACCCTAGAGTCGGACTCGACGGGCTTTCGAGCAAGGGAACCTTTACCTTTTAACAGAAGCTGTGTAAGGTCTTGTTTTTCTTTCGCTGAGGCTCTGACAGCCAAAACAATAGGCTGGTATGGGGACGGGTGGGTAAGTTTTAATATTCCTAAATGCTTTGTGCTTCTGTCATGCTGTCATCCGCGCCAAGCCTTTGGGGGAAGGCCACAAATTGAGTCAATTGATCAAAGTAGATCAAAGTAGCTGACCAAGGTGTAGCAAAGGCACTCCTGAAATGCAAACAGAGGACCGAGAGTCAGCAAAACAGGCCAGTACAGTGCTCAAAGTGGCTTTCTGGCGACTGAGCTGCCAGGTGGCCCTGCTCCCCCACAAAAGAAAGGAGGGATGTTGGCTCCAAGGAGGACAATTCAACTGGGCAACTGCACGGGGGCTGATGATGTTTCAATCAGGATGGCTGGAAGCCGCAAGTCCCCGCTGTGCCTTTGATCCATGAATTTCTGCGTGACACACGGCCGGAGGCTCGCTTTGAATCGCAGCCATACCCTAGCCTAGCTCAATTATTCGCGCCCTACCTCCCTGCAGACCAGAGCTAGCAGTCTCTTTTTCTCACGTACCCGGGAAAGTACACACAGCCTCCGCGTTCCTGCTGCCACTGTACGTTTTTAAATGAAGCCCTTCAGCGAAAGGGACTGAATGAAAATGGGCTTTCTGAGAAGCGCATTTCCAAAGTGAGAGACCAGCTCCCTGCAGAAGTACGTATTAACAGAATACGTCGGCCCTGCGTGCTGGATGCCTGACACTTGGTTTCATGACTCTGAGGTTTCAGTGCGTGGGGGGGACCTCCCTGCCCCGGACTGGCCCAGGGGGGATCCTGGCAGTTTGGTACAATGATCTAGGACCCCTGCTCCTCTTGACATTAAGACCGATTTCACACAAGAGCTGCGCTGCGGTCGCGCCTCCCTTTGCCCCGCTTCTATTGGTCAGTTTCCCACTCGAAGCCGCATGGCCGCATTTTGACCCACGGTTTCACCCGATTTTCCCCGCGGTTTCGCGATCCTCAAAAAACAGGATCACAAAACCGTGGGAAAAATCGGGCGAAGCCACGGGTCAAAATGCGGCCGCGCGGCTTCGAGTGAGAAATTGACCAATAGAAGAGGGGCAAAGGGAGGCACGACCGTGGCGCGGCTCTTGTGTGAAATCGGTCTAAGACTGTAATAGCTCCTGTACCGCATCTATCGCCCTTCCTAAGTGGTCCAGCCATTCACTTACATTCACTCAGTTCCTGACCAGCTCCAGTTGCCACGCTTCTGGGGTAACTATTTTTAATTTAAATATATATATACAATGATTTAGGACCCCTGCTCCTCTTGACATTAAGATATATATATCCTGCACCTTTCACAAGCTCAGGGTGGTTTTTACTGAGAGCCAGTTTGGTGTAGTGGTGAAGTGCGCGGACTCTAATCTTGGAGAACCGGGTTTGAATCCCCGCTCCTCCACGTGCACCTGCTGATGTGACCTTGGGTCAGTCACAAGCTCTGGCACAGCTGTCCTTGAAAAAGAGGCGTTTGTGTCAGAGCTCTCTCAGCCCCACCCACCTCACAGGGTGTCTGTTGTGGGGAGGGGAAGGGAAAGGAGTTTGTAAGCCACTCTGAGCCTCCCTTATGAGGAAAGGCTGAAAAGTCAGTGACTTTTCAGTTTAGAGAAGAGATGACTAAAGGGGGACATGATAGAGGTTTATAAAATAATGTATCGGGTGGAGAGAGCTGACAGACAGACATTTTTCTCCCTCTCCCAAAATGGTAGAACTTGAGACATCCAATGCAGCTGACGGGCAGTAGATTCAGGATAGACAGAAGGAAATGCTACTTTATAGAGAGAGTGATTAAAATGTGGAATTTACTGCCAGAAGATGTATGGATGGCCACAGATACACACTTTAAAAGTGGATTAGATAGATTCATGGAAGATACGTCTATCAGTGGTTACGAGCCATCGTGACTGAGGGGAACCTGCACCTTCAGAGGCACTAAACCTCTGAATCCCAGAGTCAGGAGGCCTCATCAAGGGAAGGCCTTGGCCTCTATGCCCTGTTGTTGGCTGTCCAGAGGAACTGGTTGGCCACTGTCTGAGACAGTGATCTGTCTTATGATTTTATGTTCCTATGTCTAAAACATAGCTGTAATCAACCATTCAGCATAAAATAATAATTATTGATACACATGGCAAAAGCTGGCAGAGCCAGCCAATAAACCAACAAATGAAATGGGGAAAGCCCTCTGATACAAGGAGAATCGGACACGAAACAGCCTCATACTGGACCAGACCCCACTGGTTCATCAAGGTCAGTACTGCGTAATCAGAAGGCCTTTAAAAGTATGAACCAGCACATTCAATTGAGCCCAGAAGCAAGCAGGCAGGCAATAAAGTTGTTTTCAGTGCGATATGTGCATAGTGGTCCAGACCCAATAAAATGTGGGCTACACTAATTGAAACTTCTGGACTGTCTTCCACAACCACCCCGGTAATCTAATTTGCAGCAATCCAATTTAGAGGTTACAAAAGCACGGATCAGCATAGACTGGTGAGCAGAGTCCAGACAGAAGGGCCATTTCTGAATTAAACTCTGATGAGAGAAAAAAAAAGCATTCTTTGCAACAATTCCAACATGCAAGTCCAATTAAACAGATTGATTCAGGAATGCTCATGAGCTCTGACCAGAAAAGGATAAACTCATTCCATCCAAAAGAGGAATGCCAATCCCAACGCTCTCTCTAAACTGTGGAGTCTTGTGAGCAAAAATTCTACTTTGTGAGCTGCTGGATTAAAGTTGTGAGCAGGCAATTTGGCTGCTGCATAAATGAGTTTGCTCCGGAGCCCTCCTTCCTGAGCTAAGATGGAAATGTGTGAGCCGGAGGCTAAAAAACTGTGAGCTAGCTCACACTAACTCAGCTTAGAGAGAACACTGGCAATCCCCTTTTCGAACTAGCACTGCCTCCGTCTTCACTGCGTTCTGCTTGTTCTCCCTTCAACCACCAGCATCCAGCCACTGATTCAGAAAGAAGAGAGCTGCAGCTGGAGGCTTAAAAGAAATAAACTATCAAGTGTCATCAGCATACTGACAACAACCAGCTCTACAGCTTCTCGTGAGCTCTGTGAAAGCCAAGTCCTTCAGCGATGACCACTGACATTAATACATGACGTTTTCTGGGCAAGGAGGACGGACATGATCAGAGAGCCACTCCTGGGATTCGTCGTGCCCCAGAATGATCAGCCCTACTGCAGCACGCTGACAAACCAAACATGAAAGCCAAGTCCTTCAGCGATGACCACTGACATTAATACATGACGTTTTCTGGGCAAGGAGGACGGACATGATCAGAGAGCCACTCCTGGGATTCGTCGTGCCCCAGAATGATCAGCCCTACTGCAGCACGCTGACAAACCAAACAGAATTAATAGGAACTAACACCTCCTATCTAGAACAGACCAACCCACCAGTGCTGCTGCCTTCACAGAAGCCAGAATGAAACTGGTCGGTAAGAGAACTGCCATTCAGGCATGCCTGGAGCTTCTCTGCCAACCACATGCCCTTGACCAAGAATGGAGGACTGCACACTGACCAATAATTGCTTGGATCATTCTTGCCTAAAGATTGTTCCTTTACTGGAGACATTACCACTGCCTCTTTCAGGGTATTAATAATACCTGTAAGAGGACCCCCAACACTATTCTGGCAGGGTTCAACTAACCGAGAAGGGCAAAGATGGGAAGGCCTTCCCAACATTAAGCATTCCCTCCACATCCATCCATTCAAGGAGGGCAATGCAAAATAATCCAGGCAACTGCAACCAAATGATGCTTCCGACATCTGAAATAATGGATCTGCGGAACCGGCATTCAAGTCAACCACGTAAGAGCAATTTTGTCCACAAGGAATCTAGCAGATTGGTCACAGTGGACTAATGACTTGAGACTCTTATAGGAGGTCTGTCCCAGGGGCCAGGATCTCACACACCACTTCTTAAAGCTCCCCTGGATAAGCCACCGAACCAATGCCAACAGTGATCGAACTATCCCTGAGCCCACTGCAAATCTACCAGCTCCCTGGCACACATCAGATAAGATACTGGGAAGCAACTCTGTCTATTGCTCCAGCTAAACCAGAATTCCTTGTGGACGTTCTAAGGGCTTCAGAGTTAGTTTTGCAGAGGAGGAGGGTTAAAACCAGCAATGTCTAATGCAGACAGTGATGTGAGAGTGGCAATGGACTCATGTTGGTCCTCTTAAAACCAGACCCCTAGAAAACTAATGGATGCGGAAAAACAGAGCCAAGGGTTGGTACCTGAGTAGTCTTGCCTTCCTCCTCTCTTCCTGTGTCTTTTAATAGACATTGTGCAAGCCATTATTTTGGATTGTAAACCATCAAAAAACACGCAACAAGCCATTATTTTGGATTGTAAACCATCTTGCACGTGGGGGCAGAAAGGCCATATTTGCATGTTGCAAATTAATAAACATGACCTGTCCTGTGCTGGACCCAAAACAACCTGGGACAGTGTCACGGTTCCCATGATGGCCATGAAGTCCTGAACTGACCAATGAAGGCAAATTCTGCATGAATGTTGATGTCCTGCCCCCTCCAATGATCACCCTAGGGGTCTTCAACACAAGGCTGAGACCCACCCTTGCCAGCTCAGCAGAGCTCTACCAGCTCATCCCTAACATGCCCCTGGACCCCAAACCCAAGGTACCTCCAATCGAAACCAGCCACTGACTGCACCAGGTGTCTGCAAAAGAACAGGGAATTATGGAAGAACACAGACTCATGAAAAGGCTCACTATCCCCTCAAGCCAAGGATGATGGATGGCATACCCAGCTGGGACCAAATTTTACTTATTTAGCTATTTCTTTTATACCCCTTTATGCTTGGGAAGAACCTCCCTGAAGGACTGCTGCTCAACATATGAGGTCATGCTCCTCCAACCAGGCTCCTCCAACCAGGCTCTTTGAAAGAGGACAGGACAGTTATAGCTCAAGTTAAGAGCATTCTCTCTGGCAGCCCGATGAAGTGAAGGGCTCTGCCTTCCCTTTTGCAGATTCACGAATACTAGATATGTGGGTGGTCACTTGCTAGTGCAGTATAGACGTTATAAGTGTTGAACTAGAACCGGAAAGACCAGCGTTCCAAGTGCAATTTTAGCCATGAAACTCACTAGTTTGACTTGAGCCAGTCACCTTTTCTCAGACTAGCCGACCACACAGGGTTGTTGTGCTGATAAAATGGGGAAGGGGGAACCATGTACAGAGCCCTGCGCTCCCTGGAGGAATGGCAGGATGCAAACATCATAAAATAAAATAGCTTAGATTAGACAAATTCACGGAGGATAGGTCTATCAGTGGTTACGAACCTTGACACTTACATGGAACGTCCATGTTCAGAAGTCGTATACCCTCCAGGTACCAAGTGCTAGAGGCAGGCAACATTGCCCTGTGTGCAAGTATACCAGAAGTGTACACTTGCATTGCCCGGTGCGCAAGTGTACCAGAAGCAACCAACTGGCCACAGGCTGGAAACAAAAGATGAGCTTGGCCTGGGTTCTTCCTCGTGATCTTAATTCAGTACATTCCCTGCTCAGTTGGCCTACCTTAGTGCAGCAGCAGCACCAAAGCCACTTACCAGGTGGAGGAGCCCACAGTCACCTCCCAATAATGGCAGCCACTGTCGATGAAGACGTTGCCTGCCGCACCGTAACACCCCGTCCCGCTGAACCTCTCAGGTGTGTGGCTCTTCTTCAGGGAGCTCTCATCTTTCTCCATCTGCAGCCCGTCATTGGAGATCTTCAGCTTCTTGTGGGCCATTTTGGGGTCCAGTTTGAAGGGCTGGCCTAAAAGGACAGAAGCAAGCAAAATGTACTGCAAACCCAAAAGTTCTCCTTCCACCTCCCCTTATTGTCCCTCTAAACATTTTACCACACTAGAGAATATTGCTCTCGAAGGTCATACTGTAGGTACGTTTGGTGTAGTTTGGTGTAGTGGTTAAGTGCGCGGACTCTAATCTGGGAGAACTGGGTTTGAATCCCCACTCCTCCACTTGCACCTGCTGATGTGACCTTGGGCAAGCCATAACTCTGGCACAGCTGTTCTTGAAAAAGAGCAGTTTGTGTCAGAGTTCTCTCAGCCCCACCCACCTCACAGGGTGTCTGTTGTGGGGAGGGGAAGGGAAAGGAGTTTGTAAGCCGCTCTGAGACTCCAAGTGAAGGGCGGGGTATAAATCCAATCTCTTCTTCTTCTTCTTCTACGTTAGAGCTGTCCTTTCAGTGCTGAGGACAGTATACAACCCAATCAATGCTGCATTGCATTCCAACGTCGTATCATGCCAACCTAAAAATGCTGCACCTGAAGGAGTCCGGGACCCATCCCAAGATATTTCTGGATCTTAAGTGAGCAAATCCAAACGGCAATCCCTTTACCAATTAACACGGTTTGCAGTTTGATGGAAGGTTCTTGCACTGAAATGTTCCGGCTGTGCAGTTATGGAAGCAGATGGACCCTTGGGCGAATCCAGCAGGGCTCTTCCAGCTCCGCTGCAATCCAGCAGTGTTCCTGATAGAACTTGGGCTCCTGTTTGTTTCTGTGAGTCTTCAGTAGAACAACCCCCTGAAGACATGAACCCCAGGAGGTCAGCTCTGCCCCCCACTACAGCAACATCACCCCCTAGCTCATGGCGAGACTGCCTCAAAAACAAAAGAAAAACTTTCGGCTATCAAACTTTGTTCCGGAGCCAGGCTTTGCTTGGCCAGTGCCACAACTACACACCAGAAGTGTACTCACTGGGAAATCCTCATGGGCAGTCTATGCAACTGAGAATTCATGATCCATTATAAAAAAATTAAAAAATACAGCTTTACGGCTGCACACGTGGGCCATGAGATTGAACTTTCGAACCCAACAAGACTTGACAAAGGAAATCAAAAATTTTGTTTAGTTTTAAAAAAACAAAACACACACTACAAAACAGCGGCCAGGAAAAGGGTGATGGTGGAATTAGGCTGGAGAAGTCAAGCTGGAGGGAGACGATGTTCATTTCTTCTCCTGTACACTATTTTCCTGATCTAAAACCGTGCCTACCGAAGCTGTTACATGGTATTTTTGGCCACTGTGTGACAGAGTGTTGGACTAGATGGGCCTTTGGCCTGATCCAACATTTGTTCTTATGTACAAACACAAGAGATACCTGTGCATACTGCCCCATGGGGCAAAGAGCAGCTGAGGGGGGTGGTACAAATCATCGGCAGAAAGGTCACACATCACTCCCTCGTCTGCAATATGCGGACAACAGCACCGACCTCCTTTATCAGGCGGCGGTAACAATGACATGATGTTCTTTGAACTGTCCAAAGCGCTTTTAAAACGTTAGACAAAGCCCAGAAAAACCACATCACAAGATCTGGCCACACACGGACAGTGAATATACAAGGCTTAAGGGTGCTTTCCGTGTCGTGCGTGGAAGTGCCCAAGACATCTTTGGACATTTATCTTCATAGTTCCCCAGGTGCATTTTAAAAAACGCAAGGCAGGGGAACACTAACTTCATAAAAGCCTTCAGGAACCGAAACTGTCCTGCCCGGATCCCAGCCCCAGTTTCACCCCTGGGAAGTTCCATCTGCTCTGGGGTTGCTAACAGACTATCGGGGAGATGTTTTCAAAAAGGTGGAAGTGGAGCTGAAGACCCAGAAAAGCAGGGAAAATCAAATCTAAGTGGTCTGAATTCCTTAAAGGTTTTATTCTCTATTAGCATTAATGGGAGTGATACAGGCACATTGCAGGGGAGAATGGCCCCCTTAAGTGCCCATATAATAGTCTCATGGAGCAGCAGAAACTGTCTGTGCATCATTTAGTCCCCCCTCCCCAATCCAAAGCCAGTGCCAGTCAATCCCCACCACAGACGCTCTGTTATTACGCGATACAGGAAGCATGCCCTCGTGGCTTCACAGTAATTTTTCCACCACCGATGGAAAAAATTTCAGCTTCAAGGGCCTTTTCCTCACAAACAGCTCGGGCTGCAGAAACCAATCAAAGGCAGAAAATGAGGTTTGGACCCTGCCGGGCTACAGTGGTGAGACTCGGCCCCTCCGCCACCAAAGCACACGCTTCCCTAGACCGTGCAGAAAGGTAGAAGGGAGAAAAATATACTTTCTGCTGTTTCAGACAGTCAATCGATGTGTGCCTCAACTGAACTGTATCCACTGCACAACCATCTCCCCCTCTGCTAATAGAACTCCATCCAGTCCTCATGTTGAGGATGGGAGGTTGGGGAGGAAATGTTAGATGAGCACCAAACCTAGATGGTCCAGGAAGAGATTCCTTAATCCCCGTGCCTCTGGGGCTGCCAGCTAGAGAAGAGAACGGCGCAGCCTGCAAATACCACAGACTAAAACCCTCCTGGCCTTGGAAATCAGAGAGTCTGATTCTCAAGAGTCAGTCCTACACTGCTGCCCTGTTGTATAGCTCTACTGTGTTCTCACACCATTGGCAATTTCTTGATGGGAGAAGCCACGAGCCTGTGCTTTGAGACCATTCCCCTGTTGCCTGCCCGCCAATCCCTCTGTTCCAGGTACATAGGCATGGTAGACACTGACAGCAGAACACGGTAGCAAAAAGTATGACTTGGTAGAGTCATATTTTCAGTGCTCCCTACTCTAAAAACTCCCGGTGAACAGGAGAGAAAAAATTATCACGTCAGGGATAAAGGTTCTGATCTAGCACTTGACACGTGGTAGTTTCCCAATTGCAGGGAATTATTAAGGTACGAAAACTTTTGCAAAACGTAATCCCTCACCTACAGTCTGAAGTGGTATGGCCCACTCTGCCACTAGAGCACTCTGCCACTTCACTGTACTGCATGCGACAACCAAGCTTCAGTCACCTTTCCTGCCACTGGGTGTCGGATCTTGCCAATGCCTGAACACAAGTATCTGACTGGAGGATAGCACTGCTGTGTTAAGTCTCTCATTCCTTACTGCAGATGTTCAAAATGCTCTCTCTGAAGTGGGGGAGAAAATGTTCATAAAATGGCGCAAGAGGTGAAGGATGAGTATTTTTGTTGGCTGTGGTTAGTCAGGTCACAGGCACTGTCCAATGGGTGCCTGTGACCAGTGTTCCCTCTAAGCTGAGTTAGTGTGAGCTAGCTCAGTTTTTTAGCCTCCGGCTCACACATTTTTGTCTTAGCTCAGGAAGGATGGCTCTAGAGCAAACTGATTTATGCAGTAGCCACATCGCTCGCTCACAACTTTAATGCCAGTAGCTCACAAAGCTAAATTTTTGCTCACAAGACTCCACAGCTTAGAGGGAGCATTGCGACTATAAGCCATGATAGCTAAAAGTCTCCACACACACAGGCAGTACTCCTTACTCCTCTGAGTACCAAACACCAGGAATGGCCATCACCTCCAGGTTCTGTTTGCAAACTTCTAGAGGCAATTGGTTAGCTGTTATTAGAAGCAGAAGGACTAAATGCTTTTGGCATAGCTGAGCATTTGGACAGCCACTATTCTACATTACAATGGCAAATGGAAACATACCGCTGAGAGAAAGCGCCAAAGCTACTCTAAGGAGATTCCTGCAGACTTTCTACAACTCGAGACTTCCTATTCTATTATATTCTATTCAAGATAATACGCAACTGATGACAATGGGCAGATCTCTGGTGCAGCTGCTGTCACTGTAGCAAGCCAGCTCCCCCCTCCCCCTGCACTCTGGAGTCACCAATTTCCATCTTAACCTGATTTAGGAAATCCCTGAATAATACACAAAAGGACAGTGTGCGCACGTGAGTGATCTGTGCGGAAGTATAGGCCTACTCCTACTCCTCAACTAAAGGAGTGCTGAAGAGGCCTGCCAGAGCACATTACCCACTGCCATTCTGGAGGAGCTGCAGGCCCCAACTTTCCAGGCACAACATGGCCTCTGATTTATAAGTTTAAGGATTTCTTGCTTCATCTCCTGTTGAAGGTGCCACGCGTGCTGGAAAGGAGGGGCAGAAATGTATTTTCAGTTAACAAAGGCAGTTACGGAAGCAGGAAGGGACCGCATGGTTGCAACCAGACAGCTGTGATGGATAGGAGAATGCACACAGGAACGGCACCCCCCTTCCACGCTTGACTGCTCTCTCCTTCTCCACCCTGGCTGCCCATCATCTGAGACGTGGGCAGGGCATACAGGCATGGTTCCGCCCCTGTCCCACAGAGTCATTCAGACTGCCGCCTCCACTCCACAAGAGGGACACTCTGAACCTCTCCTGCTGCACTCTTCCCAGTGGCTGGGGATGCAAGAACTAAGGCAGAGCAAAACCCCTTTTTTGTAGAGGGAAGGGTGTGGCTCTCAGCCCGAGGCCACAATCTGACACACTGCATAGGGTGGAGAGCAGGTCCTGTGAGGCCAAGCGTGACCTTCCTTCTTTCTCACCGCCTGCTGCCACAGCCGGCACTCGGGAATTCCGTCAGGCTACCAGTCCAGGCTACCAGAGCTGCGGTGGCTCAAGTGGTTAAGACGCTGAACTTCAGGCTGTGGAAGGTCGGTAGTTCAGCAGTTCGAGACCCGAGTGTGCCGCATGACGGAGTGAGCTCCAGTCTCTAGTTCCAGCTCCTGCTAACCTAGCAGTTTGAAAGCAAGAAATTGCAAGTAGATAAATAAATAGGTAACAGCGTTCCGTGCGCCTTGGTGTTTAGTCATGCCGGCCACATGACCACGGAAACGTCTTTGGATAGCGCTGGCTCTTCGGCTTTGAAACGGAGATGAGCACTGCAACCCTAGAGTCGGATTCGACTGGCTTTCGAGCAAGGGAACCTTTACCTTTACTTTACCAGTCCACCTAAGCTCCTTCTGCACCCTTCCTTCAAGCATCAATGACTACTAGCCATGGTAATCAAAGGGAACCTCCATATTCAGAGGCAGCAATCCTCGAATACCAGCCCTAGGATGCACAGTGGGGTGGCAATGGCCTTTATGGCCCATTTGTTGACCACCCAGGGTAACTGGCTGGCTGCTGTGTGAGACAGGTTGCCGGACTAGATGGAACACTGGTCCGATACAGCAGGGCTCTTTCTTATGTTCGTATCCCCAGTGCCCGGTCTCTTCCGGGCCCCTGTGTACAGCTCTAATCCTGCTTCTGCTGGTAAAAGCAAGGAGAGCGGAAGGTGCAAGTGGGTTATGTCTGTGGAGGAATGCCCTGGCCAAGCTAGCAGTCGTCTTGAGTTTCAGGGTGGCCTCAGTCAAACAGCCACCCGCTGCTTTCTGTGTTGTTATCTGATAGGAAAAGCAAAAGGTCTTTGATTCCAAAAGAGGGAAGCAGGGCTACGGCACTTTCAAAGCACCCTGCAATTGGCAAAGAAACCTTCCAGCTCCTGGAGCTGTTTATGCACATGTCTCCTGCAGGAGCATCAAGGCCACTTTAATTAGGAGGCCGAGTTTCATCTGAGTGCCACACTACCAACGGCACATATTTATATTTGAATGTCCTTTTGTTCCCTGCACGAGGCTGCAAGATAACGATTTTAATAGCCAGGCAATATTCCAATATTAAATAAAGGACAGTGGTTTTTTAAAAAAACCCAAACACAATAGTCTCTCATTACTCTTATTACAATCTGCAATATAACCAGGAAGATCAGGATTTCAGAGTCAGTTCCATGAAACCCGCCCTGCCTTTCTGCCATCAGGCCAAAAGCTGACAAATCCACTGCAAAGAATAAGAAACACGTCTTTTGACTGGGTGCTCCGTTAATCTAGCAAATGGAGTTCCCTGTGATGCAGAGCACTTAGCTGCATTCTAATCTCCCCGCCGTCTGACGCGGAATAGGCAACTGGCCTGGCTACCCTACCTTTCCCCGCACCCCTTGGGCCCATCAGTTCATTGACACGAACCTCCTTCCCTCCCAAGGAGGGGACCTGTTAGCGCTCAGCTCATCTGTCAAGCCAACAATCCATTCTTTCGGAGGCCTGCGCCGAAACGCCAAATAGTCAAGTGATACATTTTTAATAAAAGACCGAGTCCAGGGCTTGGTTTTCATCAGTGCCGAGCCGTTCTTTTCGACGCACAGACGAGATTTGATTTGGTTTTTTTCACTTCAAGGCATAGTGGTTCCCAGGGAGTGATGGGAGCAGCGGAGGCAATAAATCACTTTAAATGCCCGGTGGAGTGCAGATGGTAGACAGAATGAAACATCATGCAAACAGGAAAAAAAGGAAGAGCTCCTAGATTGTCAGGCTCAATTGGAGGGGCCTATGGAAATTCAGCTTCCTAAACCAGGTAAGGCTGGGACTGAATCAGGAACAGTTATTCCAGAGAGTAGGCCTAGAATTAACCAGTAGACCAGAGCTGGAGGGGCTACAACTTAGTGGCAGAGCACAGGCCAGAGGTCCCTGGCACCTCCAGTGACGGGATGTCAAGGCAGCATATGGTACAAGAGACCTTTCTCTGCCCAAGTCCTCAGAAAGCCACTGCTAGTGAGCACAGACAACACCAAGATGGATGGATTAATAATCTGGCTCTATAAAAGGCAATTATCTTACATTCAAGAGCATTATATGACCGGGCCTTGTTTGAGTTTCACTATTTATCTAGCCCTCATTACCATCCATTGAAAGTGACAGGATGTTTGCTTAGAGACACCAGTGACCAAGAGGGAAAAACCTGTAGCTCAGTGACAGAATGCAGTCTTAGCATGCTCGTTCAGCATATCCAACAGAAGAGTTTCTGGGAGGAGTGGATGATATTGGGAAGATGGCCCAATGGTCTTGACTTCCTCCTGCCATTATACTGCTGGTTCCACCTACTGTCCTCAAATCCAAACAGCCCCATTGTCAGAACACGGGAACTATTTACAACCAGCTGCATCCAAATGGCTGCTTGTTGGTTTGATCTTTTCAACCCCAGGGTCGCTCTAAAGCTTTCTGCCAGCTTCTTCAGTACAGAGTGCCACATCTATGCAATGGTTAGTCTAGAGCTTGAATCCTGATTTGAGTGAATATGGCCTGCAGAGAAACTGTTCTGTTTTTCTGTTTCATTTGTGCCAAGCCAGTCCCTTGAAACTCAGGCTAGTGCAAGTATTTCAAGCCCTCTGATGTTACAGTGGATCTTTCCCCCTCTTTCATGTGCACCTTCTCAAATCTGAGACTGGTTTGCTGTCCCCTTCTGCAGTCAGCACAAACTCTTTGTTTGGGTTGACATAAGAAAGAGGTAGTGGACTGCTGAAGAGGCAGAACGGACTGCATCACTTAAGACGGAAGACGATGGGATTCCAGCGTTTGATGTTCCTTTGCTCAAAAACTCCATGTACACAGAAAGGTAGCACAGCTGGGAATCCACTTCTTTCTGCTCTGCTAGCTTTCTATTTGCAAAGAGCTTTTTTTTCCCTTTTAAGCATGGGCATCATAACAAAAATGCTTTGCTGGGGTACTGCATGGACAGTCCGAAGTGGTACAATCCCCTCTGCCGCCCTCTGCATTCTACCGCTTCACTCTTCTACACGTATGAACCAAACCTCACTCCTACAGAAAAGTAGCAAGGCAGCAGTCTGGAGCCAAATGCGCAGGAAGCAAGTCTGCCAAATGAAGGAGAGTCCTACATGGCCTCAATGGGGTGGGTATCATTTTAAAACAGTTTTTCAAGGCGTGCACTCCTTTAAGCCGAGTGGGATGCTGTAGCTCTGACAGAAACTGCTCTTTTTCAAGAACAGCTATGCCAGAACCAGGGCTATTTTTGGGCAGGAACGCACAGGAACGGCGTTCCGGCTGGCTCCCAAGTTGGCCACGCCCAGCAGGAACTCATTAGCATAACAGGCCACACCCAACAGCAGAAACTCATTAGGATTGGCTACATTAGGGGTGTGTGCCCTAACATGCAAAGGAGTTCCTGCTACAAAAAAAGCCCTGGGTTTTGACAACAAACAAGGTAAACAGAATAACAAGCAAAAGGTGGGTGTGGCTGGATAACCACACTTCTGGTAACATGGGGGTGCGTCCTAATGTGCTAATGAGCTGTGCTGGCAGGGGCGTGGCCTAATATGCTAATGGGTTTCTGGTGTTGGGTGAGGCCTATTATGCTAATAGGTTCCTGCTGGGCTTTTTCTACAAAAAGAGCCCTGGCCCAGAACTATGGCTTGCCCAGTGTCATTCAGCAGGTGCAAGTGGAGGAGTGGGGAATCAAACCCGGTTCTCCCAGATTAGAGTCGGCGCTCCTAACCGCGACACCAAACTGGCTCTCAATGCGTGACCCCAAAGTGACTGCAAAATGAGTGACCCCAAAGTGCATGAAGACTATGGGTCCCCGACAGCACACAAATGTCTGGGAGAAGGTTATCTGTTCTGAGGGTGAATGCCAAAGTTCTTGGGTAAGCCTCGTTCCCTCTAAGCTGAATTAGTGTGAGCCAGCTCACAGTTTTTTAGCCTCCGGCTCACACATTTTTGTCTTAGCTCAGGAAAGACAGCTCCAGAGCAAACTAATTCATGCAGTAGCCAAATCGCTCGCTCACAACTATAAAGCCAGTAGCTCACAAAGTAGAATTTTTGCTCACAAGACTCCACAGCTTAGAGGGAACGTCCTGACTCTGTAAGTGTGGCATCTTTCTCAAAATAAGCCAGACACTGCTGGTAGAGCTCTCTGGTTAAGCAAGGTGCTTTTGACTGTGCAACACCAGCTCCCTCCCTGATACCTAAGATACCTACTGTTTGTCTTGAGCCTGGCAGGTTCACTGTTCCGGCTGCCAGCCTGGTTTATCGCCTTGACGAGAAAGATGTATCGCGTGCCACTCTGCAGCCCGTGCACCGTGTAGTGGTTCTGCTTGATGTTGGGGACGATCATCCAGCTGTCCATGGAGTTGTACAGGCCTGCCATGAAAAGGAGAGGAGCATAAACAACATTAGAAGAGCCTGGCTGGATCTAACCAGGGAGTTCTTTTAGCCCAGCATCCCAATTCCTAGGGTAGCCAACCAGAGGACCTCGGAACACCTGTAAACAGGACATAGGGGCTAAAAGGCTCCTCTTGTTATGCCTCCCCCTGAAAATGTCGAGGAACACAGAGAAGTGCCTGATGGTCCAGGGTAGCCTGATCTTGTCAAACTTCAGAAGCTAAGCAGGGTTGGCCCTAGCCTAGTACCAAGGACACCCAGGGTTGCTACACGGATGCAGGCCAAGGCAAACCACCTCTTTTTCACTCATGCCTTGAAACCCCTACGGGACTGCCATAAGTCAGATGCCAATTGATGGCACCTTCCACCACCACCACCACATGGACAAATAAACAGTAGAGGTGGCACCTTAAAGACTAGCACACTGTATTCCGGGAAAAGCTTTTGGGGACCAGTGTCCACTTCTTCAAACAGGTGGTGAAATGGACACCCACAGGCACCTCATTCTATCGTGGGATGTGAGCGTGCGCAATTTACTCATCTCGCCAAGTCCCAAGCACCTAAGCCCTGATGAGGTTCACCTCTCCATCCTTATTCCACCTTCCCATCACCCCATACACGATACAGAGATACCCCTTGCCAGCACCAGACTATGAATTTCAGATGTATAATGACATGTCCCCCCCCCAAAGAACTGACATTCAGAGGTAGACTGTTCCACTGAGCTATCATGTCAATCATGACCATATAGGTATCCCTCCATGGATTTAACTACAATGTAAGAAAAGTCTGCCAGATTAGATCAAGAATCCACTAACCCATCATCCTGTTTCCAGTGGGAACTAGCCAGATATTTCTGGGAAGCCCACGAGCTGAGCATGGGGGCAACAGCCTGCTGCTGTTTCTTGTCCAGCAACAGCTAGGTACTCAGAAGAAGAAGAGGAGTAGATTTTTATATTCCACATTTCTCTACTTTGAGGAGTCTCAAAATGGCTTACAATCACCTGTCCCCACAACAGACATGTGGAGGAGTGGAGAATCAAACCCAGTTCTCCATATTAGAGTCTGCTGCTTTTAAATATTACACTATGCTGGCTCTCTGTATGCAATGCTCCCTCTAAGCTGTGGAGTCTTCTGAGCAAAAATTCTATTTTGTGAGCTACTGGCATTAAAGTTGTGGGCAAGAGATTTGGCTACTGCATAAACTAGTTCGCTCTGGAGTCATCCTTCCTGAGCTAAGACAAATATGTGTGAGCCAGAGGCTAAAGAACTGTGAGCTAGCTCACACCAGCTCAGCTTAGATGGAACACTGTCTGCATGTACTCAGAAGCGTGCTTTCCCTGAGCATAGAGGGTTCCTATTCAGACAGGGTTCATAGTGGTTTATAGCTCTCTCCCTCTCCATAAATTTGCCTAATTCAGAGAGAATATTTACAGTCTGGTAACGGGGGTGGGAAGCAACCAAGAAGCAGGCGCGAGGCCAGCTGGGACCCCACGTCTTTCCGTTTGATTTAATCTCTTGCCTTGGCAAGTCCAGAGGAGCCTGCAGGGGCATTAGAAAGAAAAGGTGTGAGAGAAACTGGGCTCATTTTTATGAAGCTACAGAAACCAGGCACAATAAAGCAAAGTCACCCTAGCTGAGAGGGCCCCCACATGGGGAAAAGGTTCAAGGTTTCCTTGTTGGCAGCCTGTCCTGACGTTTGCCTTAAGAAGAAAACAGGGCAAGGTAGAGCTCTGGATAGACATCTGATGCATTTCAGGGATGGCTGTTGCCTTCATCCCCTGGGGTTTGGGAGTTTCCAAGAAGCAACCGAATGCTGAACTAGATGAACCTCTGAACTGATCCAGCAAAACTGCTCTTAAAAGAATCTCCTACATCAGGTTGGCAGGGAGATAATACTACCAAGGAGGAGATAAAGATGCACGTATTAACTGTGTGCAGGGGATTATCTGGCTCCACTTACAAGCCATGTTCTCTGAAGAGCCTTGGATCTGCAGCAACAGGCGATAACGGCTGTATTAACTGCTCAGGTCACCGAGCCCAGCTTTACATGTATCTCCTCCACCTCACAACCCCAGGCAGGCAAAGAAGATGAGTGCAGGAGCAAGCAATGCGTGGGCCTGAAGCAGTTGAAGATGGAGCGGGCTTGGACTGCCTGCTGTGTTTTAGTGCCAAAAACAACAGCACACGTTCAGAAACTGGCAAAGAGTTCAAAACGTGCAAATCCAAACGTTCAACATGCTCAGATTCTGAGGGATACTGATCTTTTTAAAAGCAATATTTGGATCAGTGGCTGTTGGCTCTTCAGGTGTTACTAGAAGACTCAGCAGTAGCTTAGCTGCTTCCCACTAAAGATGTGAACGGCCTGGAGAAAGTGCATAACTTTTTCTCTGTCCTCCAAGTAGGGCTGCCAAGCCACCGAGACGGTGGTGCAACGCGTATCACTGTCCCCGCGGCAGGGATCCTGTAAAGACATGCGGATCCCCCGCCGCGGCTTGGCAGCCCTACCTCCAAGGCAGCAAATAGTTGGGTTCAGTAGAGTTATCCTTTTCAACGTGGTGCCCCTTCCTCCACTCCAGGGAATATGGAGATTGACAGTATTTCTCTTCTCCACTTGGGGCCACAGCAATGTGGAACAGCTGCTTACTTGCCACAGAAGGGTGTTGTGGGAAGTCACACAGACCGGCATGAACTAATTGCTGTGAGTGAAGCCCAAATTAAAAAGGGGCAAGTTAGGGCCAAATGAAACATGGTGGCGGAAGATCTGAGAAGGGACCTCCCACAGCTGGTTTTTCAGGCTTGAAACAGCAGCATGGGGCAGATGATCTGGTTTCCATTATGGGTGCGACACAAGCAGTGGGGTGTCAAACCCCCCCCCCCCCGGTGTTTTCTCATTCTATGTTACTCCTCTCCAGGAGTGTGCTTGTATGTTTAACCAGCAGAGCAAAGAGCAGCTGAAGTGGGGTGGGGAGAATTTGCTTTGATGCAGAGGGGAAGGGTTATCTCGCTTTCTCCCCAACCGCCGAGGCTCCATCCCAAATCACCTTGTTCCATTCACAGACTACCTGGTATTACATTTAATTTGGCCCTCAAATGATGGAATTCAACCTGGACAAAGATGCAATGTCAACCCAACAGTATTTGAAGGTCACATACAAAGAGAGGGCTTCAGACCAATCTGCAAACCCTCACTGTAGCACTGTGGCAACCTGGAAGAGGACAGCCTTGTCATGTCCCTTTTGGGACGCCATACTTGTGGTAGGAGGCCCTCACAATCCAGAAGGCAGAACCAGGGCTGTTTTTGCAGCATAGCATTATGGGGTGGGGGACTGCAGGAAGCACCAGCTTATCTCAACGCTTTGCGACAAAGGATCTGAGTTGGCTACTCTTTTACGAAGATTTATTAACGAAACAGAGTGTAGGCGCAGATGTCAAATTCTGTTAAGCAACCTGCTTTTTCATCAATTAGCATACTAATTAACTACTCAATGATTCTAGAAATCTCAGGCGATCCACATTGTGCTGGGAATAAGCACAGTCATTTGGTGCGGAAAGATGCATTGCCTTCCCCATGTGTATTGGCAGGCCAAAGCACAGCTCTAAGCGAAGAAAACGAAAACGGGACTTGCCCAGATGAGACAACGGGATCCAGAATGAACAGCCTCTGAACATTCTCATGAAGGCCTGCGCAGGTTTCCCTGGTGAGAAGGAGTGCCCAAAGCACATTCACAGTGCTGGGAGCATCTTTTTTATATGCACGTGTAGTGGGATGTGGTTCGGTAGCAGAGCATCTGCTTTTTATGCGCAAGGTCCCAGGTTCAATTCCTAGCATTGTCAGTTGAAAGGATAAGGTAGTAGGTGATGTGAAAGTTGCCACCTTAGGCCTAGGAGAGATGCTACCAGTCAGGGTAGACAATACTGACCAGGCCTGTAGCTACGGTGGGGCTTTTGGGGGCTCCACACCTTTCTTAAAGGCAGAGTCCCACAAGAATTTCTCCTGTAAATGCTTTTTTCAATCATTTTAAAACATTTTTTTAAAGGTGTGCACTCCTTTAAGCCGAGTGGGGTGCTGTAGCTGACTAATTCCTGCACTGATCAAGGGGGCTGGAGTAGGTGACCTCTAGGATCCCTTCTAACTCTGTGTCAAGAATCTGGTCTCCTTTAAGAGAGTTTTTCTGCCTAAGTGTTAGCTTAACTTGACTATCGAAGTCATCACCCCCACCTGCCAGCTTGTTATCAGAATTGTTGCTTAGACTGGCAGAAGTGATTAACTTGCAGCAGCTGAGAACTGTCCTTTAACAGTTTGCAATTTAGAGCTCTATCCCGGCAACAGCTTTCTGCTGGCTAAATGGCTTTTCTTTCTGCACTGAGAACTTCAGCCCCACCAGAAAAAAATTTGCCCCACAAGCCACAAAATCCTGGCTATGGGCCTTGGGAGCTCAATGATCTGACTCAGCAGAAGGCAGCTTCATCAGTGGCATCCTAGTGAACTGACAGCCAGAGTATCGTCTTGTTCTTCCCCTTGGATTGGCTGGCCCAGTGGCTGATCCCACCTCCTCCCTTTCTTCCTCCATCTTTTTTGGTGAACAAAATGCCCTGCGGCTCAGTGCCTGAGATGCTTCCACCTCAGGCACTCTGCTCTAGGGAACTTTCTTCCCACCCACTGTCCTGCCCCCTTGATATTGCTGCCCCCATTACTGCTGACAGAAAAGAGTATTGTATACCTGAGATGGAAATGGTGCATCTTCCCCACATCTCAGGCTGGCTGCAGGGCAGGACTGGAATGACCGGCCAGCGGGGAAGCGGAAGATGATGTACCGGCATTCAATTTGTTGATACACTTCAACCACACAGATATATATAAAAAAGGCTCACAGCATTGCAAATGGGCTTTCAAAGCTCTCTATTTATATTCTGTTACTCCTGGAGTCCTCTCACAATATGGCAGACACTTTCTGGTAGTGGACCGCATTCAGCAGATGAAGCTGCCCTCACAACAGAACCATCAGCCAATCTCCTTGCACGGACTCGCACGCACAAGATGCAAAGACCTGGGCACTGAACCATGAGCTCTAATTCTTTGCTTACAAGACTACACAAAATTCTAAATGATGGGCCCCTGGCAGCTGTCAATCACAAGGGGCCTGCAGCATCCCTTTAATCCCATCCATGCCAAACAAAGTTTCTGCGGTGTTAGAGGAGTGATTAGACAAGACAGGCATTTTCTAAAAGAATTACCGGGAGACCTTTTGTGATATTATTTGAGGGCAGGGAGGGAAGAGGTAAAAATCAATCCCATTTCATCACTGGCTGCTGGGGAGCACTAGCCTCTTTCTTGAATGCACACTTACACAGTGTGGTCTTTTGAAGGCTAGTCTCTAGAAAGACTTGGTTTCATTATGAGGAGTGATTCACTGGAATGGCCACTCTCAAGAACAATTCATTAGGTCCCAACCCTTCAAAAAGCACAGGATAGCAATCAGAACATCCAAGCTGCCCTCTTCCTTCTCCTCAGCCTATACAGCCCTTCTTGTAGTTCCTTGCAAAGAACCCCAGAAGGTTTCAATACTGCATGAAAGGAGGGTTTACTCGCTAACAATGGAAAGCAAAGAGCTTCGGGTTTACTCGCTAACAATGGAAAGCAAAATGCACCATTGTTCAATTACCCCAGAGCTTCCAGTGGATTTAGTTGAATGTGCAGCTGCAATGTGTCCCTGCTTAGGCTGTGGTCAGTTCCTGCCTTCCCAACAAGGACAAGAAGGTAGGGAATCTCTCAGACTCCATTAAGACAACCACGGCTAAAGGGACTTGGACTTTGTGCCATAGTTTGTGATTGGCTGGCACAGAAAGCTGCGAAGAATGAGAGTATGGTCAGGAAGCGTCTGGAAAGTACTCTCCGCCCACATTGCAAAAGATAGCCAATGAAATCAGTTGCCACAGAACTGAGAGCTCATAGCCCATAATTCATTGCTCTGAGCCCTTGAACCTGCCTTAGAGCAAAATGTTTCTATCAGCCACGGACAAATTAAGTACCATTCTGCCCTGAGTCCATACCAGTTCAGAATGCAAAGCAGATAATCCCATGTTCCAGAGTTTTTCCATATGTCAATAACTCCCTGAATATGGAAAGCCAGCACATCAAGGACAAGCCACAACCAGTGTTCCCTCTAAGCTGAGTCAGTGTGAGCTAGCTCAGTTTTTTAGCCTCCGGCTCACACATTTTTGTCTCAGCTCAGGGAGGATGGCTCCAGAGCAAACTAATTTCTGCAGCAACCAAATCATCTGCTTACAACTTTAATGCCGGTAGCTCACAACTTTAATGCCGGTAGCTCACAAAGTAGAATTTTTGCTCACAAGACTTCACAGCTTAGAGGGAGCAATGGCCACAACCTTTCTCCCTGAAAAGTCAGCTGCCCATACCAAGATGTGTCTTCACCCTCCTGTTTCCTCCACCTGTATTCTACAATGAAAACAGTCCCAAGATGTCTAGCAACACTAGTTTACCGTTCAAAATTAGTTTACTGTGCACAGCAATGCTCCCTTGCAATATAAAAACTGCTCTATAAAAACAGAATGATGACTCTTTCGGATCAGCTCATCACTCCTTCCAATTCATTACCTCGGTCTGAACTGATAACAGCTCCTAGCAGCCACGAGGTGCTCGTTGCATAGCTCTGGGTGTTAAAAATATGTCCGTATAGCTGATATAACAGATGTACAGGCCAACTAATTATGTTTATGAGAAGCCACTCCCAGATTGCCTCCTGAAGGCATCTAAAAAAGGGGCAGAAAAGCGTGATACCTAAGCTTTCAAGCTAGGGAGTGAAATAACTTGAGATGGATTTTTCCCTTCTTTTAAAAAGGAAAAAAAAAAGGAGTTGGGGCTGAAGACAGACAGAAGTGGGGAGGGGAGGGACAAAAAGAAAAGGGACATGCAATGATAGAGTTTGAAGATGGTGTTTTCTGTGGGTTTATTTCATTACCGATAAGCAGCAACTGTCTCCGTCTGTCAGCATTCCCAACCCTCACTCCACCGCATCAAGTTAACCTGTGGTCATTACAGTTCCCTGCCCTACGGCTTAACTCTATTACCTTGTCGATGTGCTGTCATCTCGCCGACAAGCCATTACAGACCCGAAGTACGAAAACCACTCAAGAGATTTGCCAGTACAATGTTGGCTGAAAACGCTTACAAACAAACAAAAAAACCCTCCTCCCCCTCATAATATTATTTTTCTTAGGGCTGCCAAGGGCCAATTCATAATCAAATGGCTGGACCCAAAGTGCGGGTTGAGTGGAGGAAGAGGCAGGGCGGGGCCAGCTTCTCCAGGCATCTGGCTCACAAATCAATCCGCACTTACTGCGGTGCCACTCTGTTTTCAATAGTGCTGGGATGGCAAACTGAACGAGGATCAAGCTGAAAACGCAGCCCGGCTGGAGACTGTATTCTATATCCAGGGGTTGTCTGGGGGCCAGAGCGTGCCGGAGCACTGCTCCGGCAGCCCAGGAGCAGGCACAAATGGTGGTGGTGGCAAGCCCCACCCCCAGCTCCCTGCCCATGCTCCTTCTTTCTAGAGTCATGCTGCAGCAGCGGCGTGATCTTTCCATTGTATTCTATGGCCCCATAGAATATAATGTTAAGATTGCGCCGCTGCTGTGGTGCGACACCAGAGAGAAGGGGTTTAAATTTTAAACCCCTTCTCTCTTTGCTTCCCCCACCCTACCCCGCCTTGGCATGCCAGCTGGGGAAACAAAAAAGAGGGGGCATCTTCAAAAGCCTCCCCTTCCCTTCCCCAGCCAGCCTGCCAAGTGAAGAAAGTAGGTGTTTAAAGTTTAAACCTCTTCTCTCTGGAGTCGCGCCACAGCGGCGGCGAAATCTTTCCATTATATTCTATGGCGCGACTCCAGAGAGAAGGGGTTTAAACTCTAAACCCCTTCTCTTTTCGCTTCCCCCTCCCAGCCCGCCTTGGCAGGCCAGATGGGAAAGGGAAGGGGAGGCTTTTGAAGATGCCTCCCCACCTTTTGCTTCCCCTTCTGACATCACTTCCGGTGATGTCAGGGGGCGTGGCATACGCTAATAAGCTATTACGCCTATTAGATATGCTAATGAGCTCCTGCAGCTCTTTTTCTACGAAATGACCCCTGTCTATATCCATTCCGTTACATGAATGGATCTGACAGGAGCGTGACGCAGGACAAAACTATTCTAATAAAGCAATTTTTTTTAAAAAAAACACAGATTGCTGCACTTTTATTGTGCCATCTCAGTAAGATTTGCTCTAATTTGCAGAAAATAAGCAGGCTTTGCCTATGAGAGCCCCTATGATATTTTAATCACTGAAGCAGGTCTTTGGGCCAAGGGTCCCAAAGGGCCATGGTTTAAAGCAGGGGTCCCCATCCCTTTTGAACCTGCAGGCCACTCTTGGAATTCTGACTCAGCATGGTGAGCACAAAATGGCTGCCAAAATTAGCTGCCATAGGAAGTGGAGCCAGTGACAAAATGGCTGCTGGTAAAGATCCTTGTGCTGCGGTGGCAACTGCTGCCAAAACAACATTTTAAAAAAACCTACACAGCCAATCAAATCTCCAAAGGCCAATCAGAAGCCTTGCTGGGCAAAAGCCTCACCTGGACCCGCCCATTTTCTAAAAACACTTGGCCGACACAAGGAAAGGTGTTGGCAGGCACCACAGCACTTGGTCTAAAGCAGGGGTGGCCAAACTGTGGCTTGGGAGCCACATGTGGCTCTTTCACGCAAATTGTGCGGCTCCCGGCAGGGCTGCTGGGGAAGCTAAATATCATTAGCAAACAAATATCATTGGACAAATAAATATCATTATCCATATCTGCTTTTACTGCTTTTGTTGTTATTTTGGCAGCCTCATTTAATGTTAATAAAAAGCAAATTTGCATCTTTCCAAGTAAAAACGTGTAATATTTGTTCATGTCTTGCGGCTCTTAAACATCTGACGTTTACTCTATGTGGCTCTTACGTTGCTTAAGCAAGTTTGGCCACCCCGGTCTAAAGGAACACAGTGCATCAACCTTTGCTGAAGCTATGCAGCGTCTACATTTGATTACAGACTAGATGGAAGAATGTCTGAGAACTGCATGCACACAGCCTGGAGTGCTCCGTGGCTAAAGACGCGATAGGAATGCAAACAATAAAAATACAACCAGCACCCTAAAAATAATAGTGAAAATAAAGTGTGATGTAGCAGTTAGACTAGGATCTGGGAGACCGGCTTCAAATCCCCACGGAAGCGCTTTGGGTAACTTTGGATCAGACACAGTAGCCTACCTCCCAGTGTTGTTGTGCAGATAAAATAGTGGAAAGGAGAACACTGGAAGCCATTTTGGCTCCCAATGGGGAGAAAGGCGAGGTATAAATGAAGTAAATAAAATGAATAAAAACAGTGATGGTTGTCCAACAATCTAGGGGTTGGGGACACGCCCCCCCCCCTCTGCTGTAGCCCCTTGTTTCGTCTCCACCTCTTCTAAAGACTTAAGTGCTCCTAAAACTTCGGAACTGCGTGCACTGACACATGCCAATAAAAACAGGCGGTGGCTTTCAAACTTGTCTTCCCCCAAACTCCAGGGCTTCTTCAGGAGTATATTAAGGGTTCCGTGATCAGAAGGTTAAAATGATGACAGGCAGTCTGGTTGAGAGTAGAACAATACATTATGTGTAGTTCTATGATGCTTCTCACCCCCGCTTCCCCCTTATAAATAAACATTATGAATGAAACACATTTAAGTTTGCCCCTAGAAGCTGGGGGGTGGGGCCCTAGGCAAGGCCATAGCTACTTACTGATGAAGTTGGCCTGGCCTGTGAAGATGGTATACTGGAGCTCATAGGAGCTGACACTGAATTCATCATCTGATATCCAGTGGACAGTGATGGTGTCGTGTGAGGCAGTGCAAAGTTCTTCACGGACCGACGGAGGGTTGGGTGCTGTGGGAGCAACAGGTGACAATAAAGACAGGATGTTAGTGCCTTTACAGATGCCTCTTCTGTGTCCTTTGGCAATTCATTAGCAAAAATGCTGTAGTCATGTTGGCCTCCCAGGTCAGAAACGGCACATAGGTTAAAAGCGGATGCTTTCGGTGCGCGCAAATGTACATTACTGGAGGTAGTCAGCTGCTATGAAAGCATATCCCCTATGCTAAGTACTGCGTATACAAACCATTTCCTCTCTAAGGTTGAGCTCAGGGAAAACTAGTTCTGCCAGTCTGAAGCATAAACCAACTGTGCACAGCACTGGTTGGCTGGCACCCGTACCATCACACTTGCTTTCCCCTTCCAGTTCTTGGAACGGTTCTGAAACTGTGTTAAAACTGGTTTCCCTCTTAAAAAACAACAAAAGACCAATTAACCAACACTTAACTGAACAAATGTTCATGTGACCATTACTATTTAAAAGTACATTTGTATACACCCTTCTACAGTTGACTGTTGAAAGCTATAAGCCTCCAAACTGCAAGGACTTTTTTCACAAGACAATATACAGCTCCACACCAAAGACAAAATAGAATGGAGTAACTTCAGCCATTATATTTTCTCACTTGGGTGCTCTATGGACAAAGGAGTGGTCCCTTTTGCTCCCCTCCACTTTGAAGCGGAGTGGGGGGAGCAAAGAAGGGGTCTAATGGCTCAGGGCCATTTAAATCTAACAGCTGATGGGCAGAGCCACTAAACTCCACCACTCAAAAGGATCGCTGAAATGGCCTGCATCTATTTCAGCCTAACAGGTGATGGGCACCCCAGCCCCACTATTAGGGCTGAAATGGATGCAAGCCATTTCAGCGATCCCTTCCACTCCCCCACCCCTCCACTTCTCACCATAAGGCACACGGACCTCTAGAAAAAAACACGTGGAGGGTTGTGAAGGAAAGCTTGCACAAACCTTGGTTCACAAACCACGACCCAGGTGATTCTGGCACCAAACTTAGGGTCGTGCCTATCCCTAGGAGACAGTAAAAGTGTCATAACAGTGGCTTTTTTCAACAGGGCAAGGGGAGAAGGAGACAGGGTTAAAGAACTCCTTATCTCCCTCCCCAATGCTGCCCCAGCAGCTGCATTTGGAAGAGGGGGAAACAGCCTTGTAACACAATCATGGACTTATGCTTAACATGTACTTCTGTCCTTGGTCACGGCTTTAATTGCCTGGATTTCTTTCCCCGCTCCCAATTACTCCTGATATTAACGCTGTGCTTAATTCTCCCTCTCTGTAGCTTAAGCCCATCAGCAGATTCCACCAGAGCGAAACCGTGGCCCCTTGCACAAAGCGACAGATGGCTGGGAGGGCGGCCCATCCGTGGAAAGACAGAGAGACTCAGATATTAAGGGTGTTAACAATGAAATCTGACAGCCGCATTGTGACATAATCAGGTTAACAAACTAATTAAAGCCAAGTCGCCCATCAGAACGTTGCCTTAAAAATCCAACCAACCAAGAACAAATGAAGAACAAACTCAAAACGGAACATATCTGACTGATATGCTGCTAATTAGTCCCCTTTCCTCTGCATGAAGTTTCTTTTCATATTCTCCACTAGGAGGGACAGGGGAAGCCTGACTTAGGGACTCCATGGCTGTTTCCCAGAATTTCCTCATGTGCTTCGTAGTCTCTGTGGGGGCGCCTGTTCCCTTCCCCTAAAAGGAACATGCTCGTTTTGAAGCAGGGGAGCGGCTACAAGCATGGGAGCGGCTACAAGCATGGACGGCTTCAAAAGGGAATTAGATAAGCATATGGAGCAGAGGTCCATCAGTGGCTATTAGCCACAAGGTATAGATAGGGGCTCTGGGGCAAGTGATGCTCTGTCATCTTGGTGCTTGGGGGGGGTCAACAGTGGGAGGGCTTCTAATGTCCTGGCCCCACTGGTGGACCTCCTGATGGCACCTGGTATTTCTGGCCACTGTGGGATACAGAGTGTTGGACTGGATGGGCCTTTGGCCTGATCCAACATTGGCATCTCTTATGTTCTTATGATCCACAGAGAGTCTTTCCCAAGCCTGTTTTTGCAGCAACTGAGGGGGGGTGGGTGTTCCTCTGAGCTGGATTCTGGTGGGACACCCATCAAGCAAAGGCCCCTTGACACTGCCATTTTCCTCAGAGGTGGAAGAAGATACAAAAAAGCTCTTTCAAACCCAACACTGGGGAAGGGAGCGCTCACTTGTAAAATGGTTCTGAGGTTTCTGGCAGGCAGGACTTAAAAGCAAGCACGGATGATGTACTGAGGCTTGGGAAGAGCACTTGAATCCACTGGGTGGAAGCGGTGTGTGAGGGCAAAAGAGAGAGGTTTCGCTAAAAGTGTGTACTGTATACTGAGGGGGCATTGGCCACGGATGATTATTTTCTAACCGCGAGGCATGTTGATGGGGAGGAGCCACCCCAAAATGGAATTCTCTGCTGGCAGCTCCGCACTCCGTTCTATTGTTCCAGGATTCCATCACTTCAGTCAGCTGAATGTGCAGATCAATCCTTGATGGGACCGGTTAAGTTCCTTAGCTGTTCTGTGCACCAAGAAGGAAGAGAAACTACTGCTGCTGCTGCACACATCAGCTAGGAAGGAACGGCAAAGCAGGGCCCAGCAGGGGGGGGGGGCGCACGCAGAGGGAGGCTGGGACTGCCGAATCGGCACAAACCTGTTAGATAATCCAGCCCCTCCAGCAGCTTCTTCTCTCTGGAAAAATCTAAAGCAAAGTTTTCAAAGGCATCGTTAAAATTGATATCTGGTATCAACACTTGAGAGGATGCGGTTGCCATGGCGACCCTGAAAGACAGAAGAGAGCATCAATATACATTAGGTGGTGTTTGCAACTCCCAGACGGCACTTTGATTTTTGATTAAAGAGCTGCAAACTGCCTCGCTGTGATGTAACCTGGGGGGGGGGAGAGGAGGGGGAAGAAACAGACACCAGAGTCTAAAATGCAGGACCTCGATGGGTTATGCAAGAGTCCGAGCAGATCGGCTTGGTTTACTGAGGTCCACGTTAGATATCATGATGTCAGTTCCTTTCGTGTGTTTGCCTTGTTCAATGTATATAATGGGGAAGGGGAGGAAATCTTTACCTCCATACTCAAAACACCACCCAGGAGAGGAGAACTGCATCCCCTCCTCAGGGGCTCTGCCCCTTCACTCCCCTTGGTCCATTAATACCTCCTCCCCCTCCCCCCAGCTCATTTCTGGTATCAGAGCTGGTTGAGGATTTAAGCAGCAATGCAATGCAAGGAGGATATATGAGTGTGTTCCTCAAAAGCAGTATGCATCTGAAGATCTGTTTGCTTATTTACTTCTTATTTATAATATATATACCCTGCACTCTCCATTTCTGCTCTCAATGCAGTTTCTGGCAAACAGTTGAAATACAAAATAATAGCCAAAAAAATCCCCTGTACAATTAGGACAAACCTACAACCAAGAGAGCAGCACAGAATCAATTTGGTTAGGAATGCTCTAAAATAGCAGCATTTCTTTGGGCCAACCTGAGATATATTTGGGGGCAGAAAGAGGCCTGGGAAATACACAAACAATCCCCGGTAAGTAGGGATGGGCACGAACCAAATTGCGAACCGAAATTCATAATGAACCAGCCCCAGTTCGTGCCATCCCACCCTCATGAACCTCCCAGGTGGCTTCATGTGGTTTGTGTTGGCAGACAAGCTAGTATCGGCGGCAGGGCTTGGAGAAGGCCTTTAAAGAGACCGTAGTCTCTTCAAGCAGCACCACCTTGGAAAATCCATTTAAAGGGATCCCTTTAAATAGTTTTTGCAAGTCACACCACTGCTGCCCGAATGCCTTCTCAGTTGACTTTGCAAGTGAACTGGGAAGGCGTTTAAATGTGGCATGACTCAGTGAGTCAACTGAGAAGGTATCTAAAGGTTCTCCATTTCAGTGTTCCGTTTTGTCCCCCCCCCCATGCTTCCAACTGTGGGGAGCATAAAGGATCATTGAAATGGCTTACAAAAGCTATTCAAAGGGAACATTCCCTTTATATGGCTTTTGCAAGCGGGCACTGTGCAGGAGTGGAGTCCAAGCAGTGAATTCACCTGAAAGTGGTGAATTCACCACTTGAACTCCACTCCTGCACGGCACCTGCTTGCAAAGCCCATTTAAAGGGAACATTCCTTTTAAATGGGGTTTGGAAGATCTTTTCCCGCCTTCCATTCTGCTGGCTTTGAGGAGCTACCCCCAGCAGAAAGAGGGGTGGGGGGAGATCCAAGAACCTCACAAACCTGAACTGGTTCACGAAGCAGGGGAGGTTCATCCCAGTTCGTGGGACCTCACGAAGCATGAACTGGGATGAGCCTCAATTTTTCCGATTCGTGCCCATCCCTACCAGTAAGCCTGGGAAAATAAATGCTTTCTCTTGCACCCCAAAATTCGACAAACAATCCACAGGGAGATCTTTCCTGCAGGAAAGTTCCTACAGTAAACAAAAGATTGCCATCTCCAGGTTGGGAAGTACCTGGAGATTTTGGGAGCAGAGCCTGAGGAGGGCGGGGTTTGGGGAGGGGAGGGACTTCAACGGGGTATAATGCCACAGAGTCCACCTTCCAAAGCAGCCGTTTTCTCCAGGGGAACTGATCTTTTTTGCCTGGAAATCAGTTGCCATCCCAGGAGATCTCCAGCCACTACCTGGGGGCTTGACAACCCTAATTAATGGGAGAATCCAGATGACTTCATTCACTCTTCCCCCATTATGCTGGAGAGACCTCATCTGCACGGGGACGTGAAAAGAGCAGCAGCGAGCAAGGTTGGAATGGGTGGGAACAGGGTTCACATACACCCACCCTTGTTTTGCTGTGACTGATCTCAGCTTCCCCCACCCACAACTTGACAAAAAAACAACAACCCATTCCCCTACAGGGTTACTTGTTAAAAAATGGAATGGGGTGGCGGCGGCACTGGAGCGCAACTTGGAAAGCATAGCTGGAACCTCCACCCAAGTAATGGCTACAGGAGCAGTTTCTCATTTGAGCCAGAGTAAAGTAGAAATAAGGGGGAGGCAGACCAGTTCTGCCTGGATTACGCAGATTAGGATTTGTCTGGATGCCACATGTATTGCAGTGGTTTTCTGCTGCCAGTGCAGAAGCTTTACAGCAACAAACACAGTTATCAGTCTGTAACTGCATTTAGCAGAGCTTGAACGTGCCACAATCTTGAGTTGTGAGGAAGTAAAAGGATGGGCTCCTCTTTAAAGAGAAGAACTCCTGGATTGTTTTGTTCTCATTGTCCATGCCTGTCAAACCTGCTAGGCTTTGCTTGCTTTGGCTGCCATTGTTGCTGGGGGGGGAGGGAATTCCTTAGGGGAGGGGGTGGAGCGAGTGAGTGTGAGATTGAGACCTTTTGCTTTTAGGAGACATAACTTCACAAGTCAACTTCCTTCCCCTCCTCTTTTCTTTCCCAGGGGAAGGTGTCCTTGAGAGGCTCACTGTACCAACTTGGACTGCAGACAATCTTTCACTTGGTTGGGATGGCAACGTTAGGCATGGGGTGAATGTGACGTGTGCTTGGGGGAAGGGGAAGGGGCTTTTCTTCGAATTATCTATATTAAGCTTGTGCCCACCAGAAGTCTTCAGTTCTGACACAGTGACTTTCTGGATATTGCATGTAACTCAATAAACTTATCACTGCCAAGAAAGAGTTGTTGAGTGTAACTGGACCCGGGTCTGACAACACCCCCTCCCCTATCACATGGTGCAAAATAAAAAATAGGAATTTCTGTAGAAAGCAGAACAGATTAGACAGGCTCCTGTAACTTTCCTCAAGAGTGGAAAACGTAAGAAAATGTTGTAACTGGAAAACGCAGGAGTAACCTTCTGTATGCATAAATACTACAGAAGACACACCCTCCCTGATTAATACCTACAGGCATATGCATCACTGTCTGCATTTGCTCCTGCAAAGGCAACCTCAAAGGGCTGCACAGACCAAATGCCCATCTACCACCTGTAAGGAACTTGATAATTCAGGCTTCAGGTTCTAATAAGGTGACTGGGCCTTCCCTGAGAACTTTAAGAGTTGCTGGGATTCTGGACTATTCAGAAAGTGCTCCCTCTGATGATTAGCAACACCTGTGAGCAGTTTTGTTACTGGAAGATTCCACCTTGGGAGACTGTTTTACAGAGTCTCTATCTCTCCTCCCTAGTTCCTTCTCACACTAGATGCTAATTAACTGGTCATCCCTGACAGGCCATTGAGTTGCTGGGTGATGGGTTGTTGTTTTTTTAGCCTAATTCAGTGCTATACTAGCTAACTACAAAGGAAGCCTATATTCTGTCAGATGGGTAAGACGGATGATTGAAGAATTCCATTCAGAGATGTCTGAAGGTAGCAAGGTCTAAAGTTTTCAGATAGCCAGGTTTTATGAAGTAATTGTGTGGGTGGGGGGGTTATTAGGGTTGCCAGCCTCCAGGTGGGGCCTGGGGATCTCCCGATTTTACAACTGATCCCCAGCCGCAAGAGATCAGCTCCCCTGGAGAAAATGGCTGCTTTAAAGGGGAGACTCTATGGCATTGTACCAGGCTGAGGCCCCTCCCCTCCCCCAACCCCACCCTCTCCTGGCTCCACCCCCAAAGTCTCCAGGTATTTTCCAAACCAGATTTGGCAACCCTAGGGGTTATATATTTTTTGCCTGTGACTGTTTTATGCTTTGCAACACTCCTTAAGTTTAATCAATTTGATTTACATTTCAAGCCGTGTCTGGAATCACTGACTTGAGCGCAGGGACACCCCAGAATGAACCCTGAGAGTGGAAAGCCGAGGCCCTGTAAAAGCAGGGCTTTCATCCTTACAAAATACAATAAGGAGAGCACGTCCTGCCTGCCTAACTCCTGCTGTGGCTGTTTTCAATGCCCAGAGTAGGAGGCTTAGGGCCTCTTATCCTTACACCACCCTATTCTGCCTCCAGCTAGCCAGTCAGGTGCAAGAGAGCACAATATAAGGGCAAGACATGTCTCAGCATCTTGGAATAATAGGCATATTGCTTCAGTAGCTGACAGTTCCTTGTTATTATAGTTATACTGGGTAGAAAGCAAGCTTGAAGGGATTTATATAATGCTATTAAAAGCTGTTTATTTATTATTTATTTTATTTATTGGGCTTATATCCCACCCTACCCCACAAGTGGGCTCAGGGCAGTCACAACATACTGTGTTTCCCCGAAAATAAGACACTGTCTTATATTTATTTTTTCTCAAGAAGACACACTAGGGCTTATACCACAAATGCATAGAAATCCTGCTAGGGCTTATTTTTGGGGTAGGTCTTATTTTCGGGGAAACAGGGTATATAAAACACAGTAATTATTAAAACGAATAATCTCAAACCAGATTTAAAACAGTACAAAAGCAAGATGGCAGCTTGGCAGATAACTTCAAGGAATCCATCATGCCTCCTGCAAGGTGTTAGTCTTGGCACTGGGGCCGATGTTGTGGACAGGGGAGGCCGAGAGGGTTGGACGTCCGCTGCCTCAACGGAAGGCCTGGCGGAACAGCTTCGTTTTGCAGGCCCGGCGGCAGTGTTCCCTCTAAGCTGAGTTAGCGTGAGCTAGCTCACCATTTTTTAGCCTCCGGCTCACACATTTTTGTCTTAGCTCAGGAAGAAGGGCTCCAGAGCAAACTGATTTATGCAGCAGCCAGATCGCTCGCTCACAACTTTAATGCCAGTAGCTCACCAAGTAGAATTTTTGCCCACAGGACTCCACAGCTTAGAGGGAACACTGCCCGGCGGAACTGTAACAAGTCCCGCAGGGCCCTGACCTCACCTGGGATCGTGTTCCACCAGGCCGGGGACAGAGCAGAGAAAGCCCTGGCCTTGGTTGAGGCTAAGCGGACGTCTTTCGGGCCGGGGACTTAACGCTAGTGGCAAAGAGTTTCATGGGTTAAATTATGCTTTGCCTTCGAGCACCTATTCCTTGTGCCATGATACGTACGATGTGGCCTTTTAGCAGTCTGAAGACTCGAGGGGAATGAGATTTTTTTGCAGCCTCTAATCACTACTCTGTTATGTCCCTGCCAGGATGTCATGGGAAGAACAGCAGCTGTAAGAAGGCTTAATCTCTTTCAGAGCACGAACCCATGAAGCTGCCTTATGTTGAATCAGACCCTTGGTCCATCAAGGTCAGCAGCATCTACTCAGACTGGCAGCGGCTCTCCAGGGTCTTAGGCAGAGGTCTTTCACATCACCCACGGCCAGTCTTTAAACTGGAGATGCCAGGGATTGAACCTGGGACCTTCTGCATGCCAGGGCAGATGCTCTGCCACTGAGCCGTGGGCCCTCCCCGCTGACGGCAAGAGCTCCGCTGAGTAATACCTCTCCGCCACGTTCTTTGCCGTCTGGAGGAACCGAGCGTGGTCGTTCTCCTTCAGAATGTGCTCCGCTTGGTTGATGAGGACGGTGGAGCGCTCCAGGCACTGTCGGCAGTTGGCTACCTGCTGGGCCAGTTTCCTCAGCTTCATCACCTTGGAGAGAGAGGCAGGAGAGAAAAATGAGATGCAACTACCGGAAAACTCATTCGCGGGTTGACTGACGGGGCTCAGAAGAAACAGCTGGCCCACCAGAGGTACTCAGAGTGAGTGCACTGGAGATCTCGCTCAAAAAAAATAAATAATCTATAGCACCGGCAAGAATAAATCATCCACAAAGGCCACAAAGTGAATGGGACAGACAGTGGAGGCTGCCTCTACTCATGGAACCCTCCTTGCTCAATGGACACTGGGGAGGGAAGACCCCCTCTGGCACCTGTGTGTACGGTCTCTCTCTGCAGGGAATTTAGGGCCAAACTGTAAACTTGAAGCTGGCAGACCTGAGCCCTCCCCCAAACACTGTTTTATTGGTAAATGGTAGCTTTGGAGGGGAAACCTCAGGCAAGCAGTATGATGCAGGGGGTAAGGGTGGTGCAATATTGCTGCACCAAACTATTTTCCTGACCTCAAATCCCCTCCTATTTGCCCTGCTGGAGCAAAACTACAGACTCCCCTATAAGATATTCTAGGTAAAGGTAAAGGTAAAGGTTCCCTTGCTCGAAAGCCAGTCGAGTCCGACTCTAGGGTTGCGGTGCTCATCTCCGTTTCCAAGCCGAAGAGCCAGCGCTGTCCGAAGACGTTTCCATGGTCATGTGGCTGGCGTGACTAAACACCAAGGCGCACGGAACGCTGTTACCTTCCCACTGAAGTGGTACCTATTTATCTACTTGCAATTTCTTGCTTTCGAACTGCTCGGTTGGCAGGAGCTGGAACTAGAGATGGGAGCTCACTCTGTCATGCGGCGCACTCGGGTCTCGAACTGCTGAACTACCGACCTTCCACAGCCTGCAGTTTAGCATCTTAACCACTTGAGCCACCGCAGCTCCTTAAAATATTCTAGCGGGCTTTTAAAGGCAGTCAAAGTGCGCCATCGAGTCACAACCAACTTTTAGTGAGAGATTAGATGGTTTGCCACTGCCTTCCTCTGTGTAGCAGCTCCAGTCTTCCACGGTGCTCTCCCATCCGAGTACTGACCCCGCTTAGACTACAAGCTCTGATGAGATCGGGCTAATCTGGGTTTTTGGGGTCAGGAAAAAGTCCTGGATGGGGAACTAAACTCTCTCTCTCTGTCCAACTGACACACATACACATGCACGTGCGCGCACACGTACACGCCACAGCTACTATTTAACTATCCAAAATTCTTGGGAGAGCCCTCTGTCCAACTGACACACATGCGCGTGCACACACACATACACACCACAGCTATTATTTAACTATCCAAAATTCTTGGGAGAGCCAGTTATGGATCTTTAAATGTCTCCTATAACTTGTGGTGCTCTGTAGGGCTTCCCAGGAAAGAACGGCTCTTGGCTTTGCAAAGGAACATCAGCCGGTACTTGAAACAGACCCTCAGCCCACCACCCCACACTCAACGTTTAAGGTCAGTTTCAACAGTGATGTGGGGTTTGTACCTTTCTGTCCCTGTATGGGAGTAAAGGCTTCACTTGAGAAGTATACAGAAGCAAAGATAACAGCCTCCTCCCCAGTCATCAGTTTTAAATTGTAATTTTTACAACTGTAATCCCAGTTTTTGATTTTTACTTGAGAATTAAAATTAAATCTAAATTTAGACTCCAAGCTTTTTGTAGTCAGGAGCTCCTCTCTCTCTCTCTCTCTCTCTCTGTGTGTGTGTGTGTTTTTAAGGTGACATTCTAAAAGTCCCAGGTTCACTGTCCAGGACCGCTATGCAAATAATCTTTGGCAGCACTTTGCACACAGGCCGGAGCCGCAGGCCACAATAAGGCTCATCTGGCTGCCAGCCGCAAAATGAAGCAAAATAAATAAGTGAATAGCTAATGAATTTCTTGGACAAAGGGGAGAAGACAGCTGTGTGGAAAGAGATACTACAGTTAATGGCCAGGCTCACCGCATTGTACTGGGTGATGCATATTCTAACAGCTGTGTGTGTGCAACACATGCAACAAAACAAAAACCAAAACTGGTTTCTGCGCCAAGGCAGCCTAATTTCTGCAGAGAGAAAATGAGTCCTACAACCAGCAATAATTATGCAAATGTGCACACTCCTATTTATTTTTATTCAGGTTTTTTTCCCTGCACGGGGAAGGGGGGGAGTTAATTAAGGACAAAAGGCATCAGAGGCCCCTCCCTCTCTGGCACCTTTTCTAGTCACCCCCTACACATTTCCACGTGTTCCCCCAGAGCCTAAGGGCTAGAAACTTGCTTTTAAAAACAAAACAGTGAAGTGTTCTTTAAAGAAATGAACAAAAATTATTCTGGACACTGTACCAAAGACTTGGCTCGTGTGAGCTCTTGCAAGGAACGGTGAAACACACACAGAGTTTGGCTCAGAGCTCTTGGGAGTCTTCTTATTTGTAATTCTGATTACTGTTTCTCTCCTCTTTGCATGTGACAAATCCAATCCAAGTAAAAAATCAGTTGCAGCCTAGCAGCCTGTCCCTGCCCTGGGAGGAAGGTTAGATAGAAATGGTTGCTTGTTTGTTTGCTTGTGGGGTCTGCTTGTGGCGCCTTTCTCACTGAGACCCCAGGTGAATTACACAGCGGGAGACAGTTTAAATCAACAGGAATGGGTCATCCAATAAACGATCCAGTAGAGGCATGGATTGCAGCAGTCTGAAAATGAGCAGCAAATCTGAAAGCACAGCTGGAACCAAGCTGGAACGAAGCATAAGCATTAACGGGGCATGACGTGTTAAACAGTGCAGGAGTTATACGGAAGAGGCTAAGAGGCAGCTGTTGGACTTGATCTGCCCTCCCCATAGGAGGGGGGCCATGGGGGTGCTGTTTGCAGAGTACTGGGCTTGAATATGTCATCTGCAAGTTCGAATCCTCACTCGGTCAAGCTGCTACTTCTACGGGATGTGGCTGCTCAGCTGCTGAATACCAACCCGAGGGGACGCACAATGCCCTTTGAGAATGTCAAGGGAACCCCTGCATTCAGAGGCACTAAATTACACACTAAATTACAGCTGATACAAAATGCAGCGGTGCGCCTGCTGATGTCGACGCCTGTGCGGGCTCCTGTTTGGCATGTGTTTTGCCAGCTGCACTGGTTACCAGTTGAGTACCATATCTGCTCCAAGGTGCTGGTAATAACCTTCAAAGCGTTGTCGAAGGCATTCACGGCCAGAGTTCACTAGTTTCTGTAGATTTTCCGGGTTGTGTGGCCGTGGTCTTGGCATTGTAGAACCTGTAACGTTTCGCCAGTAACTGTGGGCTGGCATCCTCAGAGGTATAAACACAGAAAGATGGAATACTCTCTGTGTCGAGGTGAGACAATACTCTCTGTGTCAAGGTGCCTACCATTTTCTTCTTCTCACCTTGACACAGAGAGTATTCCATCTTTCTGTGTTTATACCTCTGAGGATGCCAGTCACAGTTACTGGCGAAACGTTACAGGTTCTACAATGCCAAGACCACGGTCACAGAACCCGGAAAATCTACAGCAACCTTAAAAGGCTTATACAGCCTGGGACGAACATACCCAAGGGATCGCCTCTTCCTGTATACGCCTCAAAGAGCTTTACTCTCTGATAATCAACATCTCCTGGTGGTCCCTGGCCCAAATGAGGTCTGTCTAGCCTCCACCTGGTGGAACATACTCCCCATCGAGATCAGAGCCCTGCAGGATCTTATTCAGTTCCACAGGGCCTGCAAGACGGAGCTGTTCTACCAGGCTTTTGGTTGAGGCAGCCGGCATCCACATATGGCCTCTCTGAGGTTGTTGTCTCCCACCTACCGGCCATCTATCCATCAGTAACCGGCCATATCCATCTGTATTAATGGGTGGGAACTTTCACCAGTAGCTGTACCCACTGATTTTAAAAGTTTATATTGCGTTTTTAAAATTTATTGTAACTTTTGAAATATGATGTGACCCAACCTGAGCCTGCTCACGGGATGGGCAGGATATGAATGCAATAAATAAATAAATAAATAAATAAATAAATAAATAAATAAATCGCTGACACCTGGTGTTTGGGAGGCAACACCAGGGATAGGCCTTGGCATCCCTACGTCCTGTATGCTGACCCTCCAGGGCAACTGGTCGGCCAACTGTGTGAGGCAGGATGCTGGACTAGGTGGATCCCTGGTCTGATCCAGCAGGGTTCTTCTCAGGGCTATTTTTGGGCAGGAACGCACAGGAACGGAGTTCCGGCTGGCTCCTGAGTTGGCCACGCCCATCAGGAGCTCATTAGCATAACAGGCCACACCCAACAGCAGGAACCCATTAGAATTGGCTACATTAGGGGTGTGTGGCCTAACATGCAAAGGAGTTCCTGCTACAAAAAAAGCCCTGGGTTTTGACAACAAACAAGGTAAAAAGAATAAGAAGCAAAAGGTGGGTGTGGCTGGATGACCACACTTCTGGTAACATGGGGGTGTGGCCTATTATGCTAATGAATTGCTGCTGGGCTTTTTCTACAAAAAAAGCCCTGGTTCTTCTTATGTGTCGCTCCCTAAACTGGAATCCAATGCCAAGTTCTTGCTTAACTAATGGCCCGTTTTGTCTGTCTGACCTTCAAGTTCTAGCCTTCCTTGGCTTCCTTGCATTGAAACATCAGTCCTGTATCTCTGGTGCTTTTTATGTTCCTCTTTTATCTTGTATCCTTGGTGTTAATTATTCATTACGCTCATTTAATTATGTACATGTGCCCAGAGGCATTTAGGCATGGGGTGCATACTAAAAAAGGAGGGAAAGATTAAAAAGAAAGACAAAAATTTCAAATGCACAGGCTTGCAGGACCATGCCTATAGGTGTGTGCACGCACTGCATATACACTGCCTGACCAAGCATACAGCACAGACACGCCTTACAAAAACACACAGAGGGATATGAATCTATACCAACTGATTTGCACTGCATAGAGCGCAGCGGGCTTTTAAAAATTCCCGAGAGCCATTACCGGATTATCCTGTCACTTCTTCCAAACAGTTCAGGGTAGCATACAGGA